TGTACTTTATTTTATACATTTAAAAAGGTTATAGGAGATGTCTAGGGACAAAAAAAATGGTAAAGAATGTTTGATTTGAAGTAATTGATCAAATAGGAGTTCTCTTTCCGGTAGTGAGACAGATTGGATAACGTGAATAAATTTCCCAATGGGAGAAGATGATAGGCTGAATATGCTTTTATATATGCATCCCTTAGATGATGAAGTGAGGACTCTGCGGAACCCCAAAAGGGAAGGAAAGCCAACTATTGCTTGAAAGTGTCTGCAGAATCCTGTAGAGTTTGAGAATCTCTGAAGGCTGCACAGAACTCAGGATAGGAGATAAAGTTTAGGTCAGAGTGCACTAAACTGAGCTCCGAAAAGGCTCCACCTGGGTGTAGGGACCAATGAGAAACATCACCAGAAGGGAGCAGTGAGGATGCTTTCTTTCAAACTACTAGTTGAGTAGGGGTGGATAGGTGGGTGGGGAGAGAGCACCCTTGACAATAATAAGTACAAGGTGTCCCTGTGTGGTCTGTGAATCCAGAAGTTGAGAATTTGAAGTGGTCCCAGTTCAATAGACCCTACTGGACCCCGGGCCACTAGTGAAAGAAAATGCAAGTGCTATCTGGAGGAATTCAACTTAACTCAGGCTTTAAATGTTTCTTAACAATGTTCCAAAGAAAATGAGCAGGCCGTGGTTTTAAATTACATCAAGTCAAGGAGATGAGACACTATGGATGGCAGGCAGAGAGTCAAAGACTTCAGATATCAGAAATTACAAAAATACGAAAGCATATTATATATGTAGAGAAATAAAAGAGAAACTTGGAAATCTGAGCAGGGAACAAGAGATATAACCAAGCATACTTGTAAATAAGGAAGGAAAAGTGTAATTGAAACTTGCATACTTGAATAAAACATTGCAGAAAGAAAGAATGGGGAAGAGACAGCATTCAAAGAAATAATGGGGGAGAATTCTCCAAATTTATTGAAAGACACTGATCCTTAGAATAAAGAGCCCAATGAAACCCAAGCCATATTAATATATATAGTCATAGATGTAGATATCGATACCAAAAGAGTAGGTTACCAAAGAGAATTGGAGAGGACAGTATCAGCTGCAGAGGAATGGCTCCATTAGACGAATAATGAAATTCTTAATATCAACAGTGGGACTCAGAGACAGTAAAATAATAAATTCAAAGTACTGATTAAATAACCAAGAATTCTATGCCAAATAAAACAAGGGAATGTGCATTTACCACCAAACAACCCTCACTAAATGGATTCTAAAGGATATAATTTAAACTGAAGGAAAATGACCTCAGATGCGTCATCTGAGTTGCAAGGAGAAAGAGTAAGCCAAGATAAATATATGACAGTCTAAACAAACTAATGACTATATATGAAACAAAAACAATTTATGGGGAAAATAAAGCAGGCTGGATTTAAAATGCCAAGTCACAGTAGCATACAAGTTGGGAGGGGGAACGGAAGGCCCATATACTGTCCGGGAGACGGTGGCTGTTGATCATCTGTAACTGTTACTAAATATGTTCGAAATAGTGCAAACTCTAATAGACCCAGTGTATGCCTTTGAAGGAAGTATAGGGAAAAGAACCAATGAGTAAAGAAAAATAAAACAGTCCAAATGAAGGGAGAGAGGAGAAAAGGAACAAGTAAAATAGGACAAATCAAAAGTTCAAAATGTAATGTTAGAAATAAAACCAAATCACTAATCACAATAAGTGTAAGTGGACTAAATTCTCCAGTTAAAGCTTCAATTTGTTATATTTTAGAAATAAAATTCAGCTGTGTACTCATTACAACACACACACATAAAATATGCAGAAAGATCAAAAGCCAAACAATGGGAAAGATAGACCAGGAAGATATTAAGTAAAAGAAGACAAGTGTAGTCATATTAGTATCAAAGGAGAATTCAGGCAAAAGGTTTTACTTGAAATAAGGAAATTTGCTACATAATGATAATTTCATTTACTGGGAAAATGTATTGATTTTAAATTTGTATGTACCACATGAATTTGTGTATAGCCTCGTAATAAATAAAGCCAGACCAACATAATTAAAGGGAAAAACTGTCAAATCCATCATCATAGTAGGAGATTTTAACGCACTTAGTAATTGGTAGTTCAAAAAGACAAATCAGTAAGAAAATAGAAAATGTGAACAGTAAAACTATGGAGCTTGAATTAGTGTGCTTGACTGCATCTGACATTTGTAAAAGACCCATCCTTTCAAGCACACATGAAACGCTTGCTGGGTTGACACACCCCAAGCATAAAGCTGGTTGCAACACACTTCAAAGGATCGGATCCACCTGACCACATTTCTTACCACCATGCAATTAAGTTAGAAAACAAGGCCAGTAGTATAATTAGAAAAGTCCACTCACTTGTAAATTTAATAACGCATAATCAAATTGAAATTAAAAGATTTCACCATCTAATTTTTTCACATCAAATGCATGGGATACAGTACTTGGAAGGAAGTGCTTGCCTTTAAGAAAATTGAGAAGGCTCAAAGTGGAGCTAAGATCGAATTAAATCAAAAACCCACAGAAATAGAAGGAAGGAAATTAAAAGGACAGAAGTTCACCTGATAGAAAAACATACAAAAGAAGAGATCAACAAAGCAAAAATGGCATATTTGAAAAGACCCGATTCATTTTTTTTAAAGACACAAATGAAATGGAATGGGAACAAGAACATAACCATAGATATTATAGAGAAAGATAAGAGCATATTAAGAACAGCTCTCAGCAGACTTCAGAACTTTGATATAATGGATGACTTCCTAGAGAGAGAGAACTTAGCAAAACAGACTGACGAGAAACACAAAATCGGAATGACCCCTTAAGTGTAATAGAAATGCAATCAATAGTCAAAATCTTTCCCATAAAGAAAACACTACAGCCAAATGGATTTATATAATTTCATTCTTGCACAGAGAATAGAAGAGATAACACTTTCAACTCATGTTTTGAAGTCAGCATAACCCAGACACCCTAACTGACAAGAACAGAAGCAGGAAGAAAACTACAGACCAAGCTTATTCATGAACATGGACACAGAAATTCTGAATAAATAGTATCAAACCAGAGCCAGCAATGAACTAAAAAAGATGATACATCATGATCATATTAGGTTTATTCCAGCAATTTAATTGATTGCTATTAGAATTTTGATTAAGAGAATTCACCATATTAACTAACAGATTTAAAAGGGAAAGTTATATTATCTCAATAAATAAAGGAAAAAATAGAATTCAACATCCAAATAATTTATGATGTTAAAAACATTGCTTAGCATATTTTTAGAAGGAATTTTCTTAACTCAAAAAAGGACATCAACAAAAAGCGCCCAGCAAACACAAAGGAGAAACATAGAATGCAATCCCTTTAAAATTAGGAATGTTCTTTAACATTGCATTAAGGTCTGAGCCAGCCCACAGCAGTCAAGAAAAGAAAACAGAAGTTGTAAGGGTGGGAATGTGAAATGGGGCAGCTGCCGTAGAACACGGCATGGAGGGCCCTCAAAAACTTACACACAGAATTCACATGTGATCTCACAATTCCAAAGAGCACTGAAGGCAGGGACATAGATATTTACACACCCATGTTCATATTATTCACAGTAGCCAAAAGGCAGAAGCCGCCCAAGTTTTCATCAACGGATGAACGGATGAGCAAAACGTGGTGTAAACACCCATCGGGATATTATTCTACTTCTAAAAGGAAGGAAATTCTGGCACATGCTATTATATAACATGGACGAACCTTGAGGTCAGTATGCTAAGTGAAATAACAAGACATAAAAGGACAAATACTGTATGACTCTACTTACAAGAGGGGCCCAGAGTAGTCAGATTCATAGAGACAGAGAGTAGAATGGGAGAATGGGGGTTTCCAGGGGCTGGGCGTGGGGCATGGGGAGTTAGTGTTTAATGGGGACAGAGTTTCCATTTGGGAAGATGAAAAAGTTCTGGACATGGATGGTGGTGATGGTTGTACAACAATGTGGATGTATTTAATGCCACTGAATTGTACACCTGAAAAACGGTTAAAATGGTAAATTTTATGTATCTTTCACCACAATTTTTTTAAAGTTGTAAGGATTCCCAAGAAGAAACAAAATGGCCTTTGTTATGGCTGCCCGTAATCAGTGCTGTCCTGAATCCAGTGCTTCCTACCAGGCCTGGGGTTATTTATCACCTAGGATTTGTGAATGGGGGTGTGTTTTCAGAAGCTATATGCAAAATTGCACGTAATTTTGCTGAGGAAAAGAGCAAAAAACTTTCATCGGATGGTCAGAGGGGTCTGTGACCGAGGAAGGTGTAAGAGCCATTCTGAGTCGCCCCCTCCCGTGCTGTGAACCTCCCCACTCCCGCCCCCTGCCGCTCTGCAGGTGTGTGGGCTGTGACCGACCCCTCCTATTGGCAATGGCACAGACCCTGCATGCCCTCCCACCTCCTTCTCCCTCCTGCACCCCTCCCTCTACCCCCCAACACCACTCTTCTCTTTCTCTCCTTCACTCAGGTTGTTTAAATATGATGCAATGTATATTCTTAAATATTTCTTGAACTCATTGAACAAGGTCTTATTTTTTAGAAGAGTGTAGCTCTGAAATCAACAAACTTCAGGATCTTACCTATTGCCCCTTATTTCCTGGATGGTAGTATTGCACAGCTCCAACTCTAGCTCAGGGCCTGGGACCCAGAAAGCCCTCGAACCCCTGCCGAATGACTGGAATCCTCCAAACCACGTTCTGCAACCATACACCATTTTCAACTAGATTTTCTTGCTGATTTCATGTTGTGCATTTAGTGTAGACCACATTTTAACAAACTGAAGACCTGCTCAGTCCCCTGGCCTTCCCCGGTGGTGGTGAGGACTCTCGGGAGGACCGTGGAGCAGGGCTTCTCAGAGGCAGCTTCAGAACACCAAGGAAATGAGAAATGTCGCCAGCTTAATTTGCACCCAAATGAATTCTGAGATGTTTCTTTTTAACAAAATGCTTTATTTCTATTTCTTACTGAGATACATTGTTAGATATACCTGTATGAAATATCAAAAAGGCATTTACATGCCTTGCTTTAACTCGCTGGTCACACAAAGTAGGTCGAAAAGACCTGAAATAAAGCAAAACAGAAACCAAGTAGTATGAGCCTTTAGGAGACACATGAAGAGAATCACTGTTGGTTTCTCGTGCACTGTGTGGCACGTCATGGTTAGTAGTCGTCGTAGTTGACGCTGGCTCCGTGCCTAAAGGAGTAGGGGCTCCGGGGACCAATCGCAGAGTCTTCATCGTAGTGACGTTGGTAGTAATCACCGTAGTACTCGTGCCCATTTCGATCTCTATTAAGCCAATAGGTGATGTCATCTTCAAATTTCTGGAGGAAAATAGAATGACAGAGAATGATTCAAGGACACACTCTGCTAAGACCACATCTGACCTATGGCTTTTCTCTATGGTGGTTTTTCTTCGATGATTAACAACTCTTACGACACCTTTGCAAACTTTTGCCATACTCATTCTAAATATACCCCGGACTTAAACATTTTTCTCTTTCTTGGTAAATAAAGCAAACATCTGCCAAATACAGTGACAACTGACCTGACCTTCAGACCGCATCTCACCATGGCAGACACTATCTTATGTCCCATTCCTGTGCCTGGCTCTCTCTGTATTGCACATTGTAGATGCTTAATAAATGTCAGCTGGATTAAATCAACCACTGCTCTGGCCTATCATGGCTCCACGGCAGAGTATTTGGGGCACTTCGGTGACTCTCTCATAGCTGTGTTGTTGGTTAGAGTGTGCGCAGGTGCATTTATTCATTCCACAAACACTATGAAGTGGGCACTGTGTGTCAGGCCCTGTGCTGAGCACTGGAGCACTGCCCAGAACAACAGAGTCTCTGCCTGCAGGAAGCCTACAGTGCCTGAGAGACAGATACAGGCACAGAGACAGTTGCAATTAATAAAAATAAAAGGGAAGGCGGACTGAAGCTGAGTAAGATGTGTAGAATGAAGTTCAGTTCTCAGCTAGGGCAACTGGTCTTTGCTATTAATCCATTTTTTAAAGGACAAATTTTTCTTTGGTGGTGGTGAAGGTGCAAGATGAGTTTAGATTGGGCCTCCTCGCATGTGTCAAAGCTCAGGACGTGGCGAGAGACAGTGTGAGGGCAAAAATGTGAAAGCAAAGATGGCCCCGCAGAGTTGAGCAGGTCACAGTTTTGGGTGCAGCTCCAGTTTTACTCCATGTGTGGTCAGAGCATCCCTGCATCCAAATCACAAATGCAGATTCTCAGGCACCAATCACTCTACATCTGGATGGAACTTTCTGGTCGTTGGGTCTCAGCAGTCCATTTTAATAAGACTGCCAGTGAATACTAATTAATACTTGAGAACTTCATGAGGCTGAAGCCCCAGCCTGGCCCGTGATTGTGGTCTCTGTGGCCCAGCGGCCATCTACTTTGGGTAAGCGGTGGGCCAGCTTGTGCCATGCTGAAGGGCATGAGTCAAATCCCTTACCACTGTTCGTTACACCTAGTGGCCATGTCATCTCCTGAGCCCATCTTAGCCTCTGCTTTGGATAGGGGGACACTGACTCCTTTGCCTGTCTCCAGCCTTTCGTTTCTCACAGTATTACATTTTTGGCCATACTGAAGTCTTGCTCTTTGGGTTTTCTCATTTTATATGCTTGTTTGGGGTTTTGGATTAAAATATAAATTTTCAATAAATTTTTTTTAAATGATGAATATAGAAATAATGCAGACTCAGATTTTTAAAATCTGTATGTAAGAGGGGAACAAAGAAAAAGGGGACCATCTCACTCCTTTGCCGAAGACCACCACCACCAGTAACATCTGGACGTGCTTCCTGGTAGTCTTTTTATGCATATATAGTTATTATAATCTTGTTGGATTCTCATCTTTATTCTGGTTTGGTCACCAGACATTATTTTAGCCATTTCCCCATGTTAACTCCTAATACCCATTTTAATGATGGTCATCAAAGAAATGCAAATTACTAAAAGATAATATACATTTTCATCTATCAAATATGTACATATATTTTAATTTTCAGTGAGAACACCAGATGCTGCTGAAGATTCTAGAAAATGGGTGCTCTCATATGTGACTTATGAGAGAATGCAATTTGACAATACTTAGAGATGCTTAAATGTGATTGTACCCTTGCCCCGGGAACTTCACTGGGCACCATGTGTTCCTAAGTAAAGGACAAGCTACACACAAAGATGCTAAGTACTTAGAATTATGCCTGGCACAGGGTTTGGCTATAAGTGTTTAGCTATTTGTGCAGCAAACAAATAAACAAAAAATTATATCTGCGTAACAGACACACAGGGAATAACCAATATGTCCAATGGTTGGGAATGGGAAGGAAATTATGATACAGCCACATGCTCTCATTTTATGAAGCCATTAAAAATGATCTAAAGGGTTTAATTTTTTTCACCTATTGCAGCATTTTGTATCCACCCTCTACATGAATCACGTGCTCATTTAGAAGAACACCTCCAGCTGCCCCAGTTGGAGATGCTGCCTGTGAACAATCCATCTGCTCTCCGGCTGGGTGGGCAGGCTGTGGGTTCTCCCCGCTACATCTCGCAGAGAGCTCAGTTTGTCCGTCACTCTGCAGACAGACACCTCTGCAGCAGGACCTGTGGTTTTAACCCTGCTGCTGTTACCTGTACCTACACCCCAGCCGGGAGTCTGTGATTATAAACTCTTTTTCCTTAATTTGCTGAATTTGTCCACGAATGCTATCTAGGCATAATTGTAAACCATCTTTCCCACAAGTGCATTGATGAAATTTCCCCAAAACATCTGCAAAGACCTATCTCTCTTTAAAAGTCACTTTTCATCTCTTCCCATTATCACACAGGTCCTTGCATCCATATGTTTCTGACATTTTTTGAAGTAAATCTGAAAAGGTTTTGGGGGCATTCTGAGTTATTTTAAAGATGACCACACAAAACTGTTCATCCAAGTTAAAAGGGTTCAGGGGAAAATCAGTGTCTCGATGAACCTAAGTCCCAGCCACTGTGGCCCCTGACTTCTTTGGATCCTGCCTCCCAAACACGTCCTGGCGGAAACTTCCAGCTGCTGTGTAGACTCCTCGTAATGTCATCCACTGCCTGATAGTGCTGGCCATATAAAGGGGCTCATACTCTTGGAATGAATGGAAAATCCTCCTTTTCTGTGAGCTGTTTCCCGACCCAGGCCTCTGTCCGCACCACCCCGCCGGGAGAGCCCGGCCTCCAGCAGGAAGCAGCACCCACCGCTTCGTCGAAGCCCATGTAGAGGAACTGCTGGTACCACTGCTGCACGTCGGGCCGGGTCCGGTCCCACAGCTGCCGCTTCTGGCGCTTCAGGCTGCCGAGGAATTCTTTGGCTTTGTTCTCATCGACAGCCACTTTAGTCTTGGCTGGAGCAGGTGCTGAAATGAATCATCGATTCCCCAGCCCCGATGCACAAAGAATGATTTCTCATCGGGGTGAATCACCGTTATACACCCCGCCCCCGCCCCCATCACGTACAGAGTGGCTTTGACCCTCAACTTCTATGTGTGTGCGGTGAGATGCAGCCTCACGCTTCCTGTTACTGACCGCTCCTACTTGGGAACAGCCATAGAAAGGGACGCAGCCTAACCTTCACCTTCTAGGTGCTCGAGGCAGAAAGGGAACGCAGCTCGTGCCCTGCAGCCCACTCTCCACGCCCAGCGCCAGGCCTCGCCAGCGGCTAGCGGCGCACCCCTCGGGCTCTGTGTTCAGGAGACAGGCTGGGTACCAGTGCCACACGGGTGCACAGTGCATGTTCATGGTCTGTGCACACAGGAGAGGGCCGTGCCTGCTCAGGAGACTACGTGCGGATGGAGAACTCGTGCTGAGCAGGGGCCAGACGGCGCCTAGCCGCACAGCTCCGTTCTCCTATCAAGAAGCCAGAGCACCCGGCGCCCCTGCGAGCCAATGGCTCTCGGCCTCACAGGCTCACTGAGGATCCGACTGGGTCTTGAAGGGTACTGACCCTTCACCTCTGCTTCCTCTAACGTCCTTCCATCACAGTCTCAGTTGTTTGAAGGGGACTGCTTCTGCAGGGTGTGCTCAGGGGAAGCCGCTGTGCCATCAGGCTTGCGGTCTAGTTCTGAGCCCCTGTCCCTTCATCTATAAAACTGGGCCGACAGTCTCTATCTTGGTGGTGTTAGGAAGAATGCACAGGATAATGGAAGTAATTCACCCGATGTGTCTGTGGATCACATGGATAAATATCAGCAGGGTTTGTTTTTTTACAAACCCTTTAGGGCTTGTTACATTGTTTTGTATACAGTAGGTGCTCATTATGTGTTTCTTGGTTTGAACTGAGTAACGGCTGAGGGATACACACCTAGGTGACGCTCCTGTAGCCACACAGCACAGGGAGGGGGACCCTCTGAGCCACCTTGGGGGTGGGGGATAAACCAGGGCTTCGTGGGTGTCTGAAGTGCTGGGAAAACTCCTGGGAGCCCCCCCCCAGGAACTCCTGCCCCTGAGTGGAGCCTCCTGTGCTCCAGTCACCTGCGGGGGTCCCTGGGGGGCGCCAGGGAAGTATGGGAAGAAGTGCTCAGGGCTGCTCTTTGCGGGGTGGACTTCAGCCTGCTAGAATCGTTTCTAAAAGGGATACTTAGTTTTACGGATGCAGATGAAAGTTGGGAGATGGAAAATGACATTCACAAGACCACACAAGTGAGCCAGCTCACCTAACTGACTACAGTGGGCCCAGAACCTGTATGTTGTGACTCCCAGACGTTCAATTTCTACATTTTGCTGCTGTCCACCACATTTATCTTAGGAGCATTATTCACAACAGAGGTTAGTAATAGAAAGATTTTCCTGTTTCTATGCCCTTCCCCAGTAGCTAACTGGATGTATAGGCTACCACAGCAATGCCGTCCCATGCCCACCCCGCCAACTGAGGTTTTGTGTGCTCTGAAAGATAGGCTCTAAATTTAGATACGTGTTTCATGGTTCTGAAATAAAGAGCATTCAATTAACACTGTAGCACTGTTTCTTTTGAGTCCACACTGACAGCTTTCAGAAAAACAACCTTCAAACATTTACTGGCAATAATATTTATCTAATAAAATACCACAGCCCCTACCCGTACAATAAGCCCTTCAGATCTTCTAACCTTTTAAGGAGTAAACACTTTTGATTTTCCAAATACAAGACTCCAGTGAGCACACTGAATATTACCATTTCATTTCCATCCAGTTAAGAATGCATCCCTTATCCACTTGGGGTATATTTACCTTCTCGTTTTTGAAGCATTAGCTTGAGTTTATTTCCACTTATGCCACCTAAAAAAATGAAAATTGAAACCAGTTTCAGAGTTACACTGTACCCTTTAAGTTATCAAATGCAAAAATCAGAGTTGGAAAAAAGAAGTGCATGCCCCACCTTGATTTGGCAACATGGTAGTTTCGCATTATTTGCTGCTTGCTACATTCCCTGTCGTGCAGGAAAAACAATTCAGCTTGCCCAGGGCTAATACTGGCGACAATGACCATGGCTGACCAAGGGCATTATGATTTGAACTAGTGCCTAGGAAAAGTGACATTGTTCTTTTAGCCTCTGTCTCATACGCCACATCCCTGCAAACCTTTATTTCGTGGTATAATGGGTTGAATGGTGTCCCCTCAAATTCATATCCACCAGGAACCTCTGAATGTGAGCTCATTTGGAAATGGGCTCTTTGCAGATATACTTTGTTAAGGATCTCATGATGACATCATACTGGATTTATAGTAGGCTCTCAATCCAGGGACTGGTGTCCTTACAGGAAGGGGAGAGGAGCTAGGGACAGCAGCCGTGTGAAGACACAGGCAGGCAGGAACGGGAGTCAGGCTGCACCAACCGAGGAATCTGCCTTAGTGCTCTAAAAAGTCAGCCTGGTTTTCTAGCTTGCCCGACCATCCTATAATCAAGCATTATTTGTACCATTTACTGTTATTGGTATTCAGTTTTAAAAGTATTTCTAATCAGCATAATCATTTTAATAGAAAATAACATGTCTGGCCTGATAGAACACCCCCTCCACCCAGTGAACTGCTCTGAGGACTTCCAGAAGCCTCTGCACACAGAAACAAGGCCTGTCTCAGAAAGAGTGAAACCAAAGCCCCTGGAGACAGCACCCCCAGAATCCTAAGTACATCTTCAGGCGTAAGGAACTAGAGTCTGGCCCCAGGATGGAGAAATGCATTGAGGTGGTGGCCGCCACCTTCTTCTGGATTCTTAACCTCTCAGTCCACGGACAGGCTTCAGGGAGTCTGGAAAGGTATCAGGAATTACATTTGTATCTGCACAGGCACAGTTTTCTGGGAATAGGAACCATAGCTTTTGCCAGACTCTCGAAACTGTCACCCAAATAAGATTAAGATTTCTTGCTTTATTTGTCAATAAAATGTCAGTATAACTGGAAAAAAAAATTTCAAAAAGAGTCCCTGCTTAAAGAATTTACTTTGTAGTTGGGAAGAAAAATAATCATAGCCAAGAGTCACAAACTGGTTGCCCATACCTGGACTCGATCTGTGGATGCATTTTATTAGCATGCCCAGTGTTTACAAAATTTGAATTTGAACTCTTCTGGGCCTGGGTCACTCAGCACACCCAGGGTTCACGAGCAGCCACCTCACCTACCCGCCCCTGCAGACATTTGGATTAGACTGCTGTCCGACTGCAGGCAGGGTGGTTGTGCCATCCAGGGAGCCTGCTGGCCTGGTTGCTGAGATGGAATAGGGAACCTGCTAGAATTTACTAAGCCTATTTCCCAATAAGTGCCTCCCTCAGGATTCCTGGGTAGGGTGGCCACACTTTCTGGCTCTCCAGGGAGAGCCCCAGCATATACCTATTATCCTGGTAAATTAATGAGAGTGCCTCCTTTCGCTCTCAAGTGTTGTGGCTTGCATGATAAATTAAATGGCTACCCTATTTTGAGAGGTTTAATGGCATGGAAATGGCTTGGGGAAATCTCTAGGGACCACACTGAAGGGCAAGGGACAGAGGTGGTTGCTGCCCTCACATCCTACATCTCAGCAGGAGGGCTGAGAGCGCACGGCTGAGAGCGCACGGACGTTGAGCGGGGCTATTCGTGCATTGCGCGTGCCCTGTGGGAGAGCTATGTTTTCATCGTCTGTGCTCAGGTCAGTCTACACTGATGTGTTCGTTTAAAAAGCAACTGCAACCGCAGGCTGCATTAATCACGACTATAGAAAAAAGGAAGCAATTATCCTGCTCTGTTCGGTCACTGCTCTGAGCAGACCTCCCCTATACCATTCTGTTCAGTTCACAACATTTCACACGAAGAAGGTCACAGAAAAACTGGAGTTGCAGTCAAAGGAGGGGACCTAGACATTTGTTATATGATAGAAAACTTAGAGGAATTTAAGCGTTTAACCTGGAGAAATGAAACTCGTGGGAGGAGAGCTATGGCTCTAAGGGGCCACTGGGTCATAGGATAGGGCATGAAGTAAGGTTTCCAACACCTGGGCAACCACCTGAAGATGGAACAAGTGGCCCCAAGAGGTTCCTGAAGAAGGGAACTCCAAGGCGTCTGAGCATAAATTAAAGAGGAACACCGGCCCAGGCTCCTGCAGGGGCAGTTACCTAGTTAGATGGGGGGAGGGCTATCTTAAAGGCTGTGCTTTCCTTCCACCCTTAAGAGTCAATGAAGAAATCTCTGAAAATATTTGCCAAGGCAGACGGATTCATTCCTTGGCACTAATATTAGCATTCATTAATATCTTAACATTTGTCGATCTCTAATAGCTCACATGGTAGCACATACAGAATTAAGTACGGTCCCTCCATCTGTTTGCCTTCTGTAAAAGTGCTTAACAATTAATGAACAAAATGTGGTCTGATGTTGAAATAGACATTTAAGCATTTGTGATGAGGCTGCAATTTCTTGCAGCAAATGTGTGTCACTACCACTCCAGAAATGAGAGCCTCCCCAGACCTTACCTAGACAACTGAAAAGCACAAATAAGTCCCAAAATATGAATTATGAATGCTGCCACTGTGCCATTTACTACACACTGAATTACATATTAATATATACGATTGGACACCACACTAAATTTGTTTGAAAAAAGTGATAAAGAACAATAGTAGCTGTGATTTTTTTTCCTGTAGTATGGATTTTTTACCCAACATCATCAGTTATTAATTCTAGGCTGCGATGATAGCAAGCCCAAATTCATTAAATCCAGCTACCTGGCATTTGATCTGGCAAATTCAGAACTGCACGATGCCCCTCTTGAAGGCGCTAAATATTAATAAGTTGATCAAGAAGGGGCCATGGTCATTTTCTCCATTAAATGTTTTTGGGTATCATAAAAAGCCATCTTTGGGACTCTACATAAAGATTTTATGTCATAAGAACTTTCACATTCCAGCCTGATAATGATAATGTGTTAACTGACTCCTGTCACTCAGTTCTTGGTATGAACTAAATAAAATTCAAGTCCTGAAAACGAATGGCTCACTGGCCTTATTCAGACGTGCTTGTTAAAATGGGGGGAATCAAGAGGGGGAGGCAGGTAAATCATGCAGTGGGACGTTATTGATTAGCTTCACATGCGGTTGTAATTGAGAACAGTAATCCTCCCCATCTGAACAAGCCGGGCTGCTCTAGCAACCCGGGTTCCACCCCAGGGGACTCCTACTGCATGACTCCGCCTCCCCTCAACCTGGCTTTCATACCTGTTTTGAATAAGCAAAATACAGAAACTGAGCAATCAAATGAGTTTTCCTTTTTTCAGACGGTGCCCAGCTACTGGGCAGTGGGGACAAGCACCAGTTTCAGGCTCCTGGGCAAGTCACTTCACACCTTCCAGTCCCGTTTCCTTAGCGGGTCACAATACCTGCCTCCCGGAGTTGTCAGCTTCAGAGCACTCATGTGTCCATGAGGCCACTTGTGAACCATAAAGGCTCATAGCAACACAAGGCGGTAACTCAGGACAAAATGTACAGTTTCAGATGGCGTTTCTCAGGTGGGATCTGCGGACCCCAGGGTTCAGACGTCTGGCACCCGCCAAACTGCTTCATTCTGGGTGTGCGTGTGAATGCACTTTTTACAGAGAACCAACAGGGAATTTTCAGAGTTTTGAACAGATTCGCTGCTGAGAGCTCCATGAAGTAGGAAAGATAAAGCATTACTCCTTTAAGAGCGTTTCCCCTCTCTGGGGTGTGAGGCCTGCGCGGGGCTTTGCAGACTGCAACTCAACCCAGCCAGGGAAACGCAATGTCCACTCTGTTGCGCAGCCACTGCCTGGAAGGAGGTCGTGGTGATGGTGCCACTTGCCTCCCCTCCGTCCAGGGAGCACCACTCGCTTAAAGCCCCGCTTCCCATTGCCCCTTACGTTAAGCCCCGGAAACATTTCTTACGCACAAGGTTACCCAGAAGAGACCCTCCCCTTGACCTTGGTCCTCTCTCCACCTGCCCACGGGCACCACTTCGCACTCGTGCAAGTGCAACCCCAGACCTGTGTCGGGTCGCTCCCTTGGCCCTGCCTAGGCTAAGGATGGGGCCCTACTCCCCAACCCCATCACCAATTTCTCTCCCCGGGCATCCTGGCAGCGCAGCGCTGGTCCAACTCCACCCTCGGGTGAGCACCGCTCTCAGCATGGTATCGCCCCACTCACCTGGGCCCAGGCACAGCAGCAGGAGCAGCGCCAGCCCGATCAGGGCCAGGACGGCGGGCCGCGCGGAGGAGGCGGCCATGGCGGCGGCAGGTGGGCAGGAGGGCGAGGGGCACACGGCGAGCTGCTGCAGGAGGACTGAGCGCGGGAGAGGGGCGCAGGCGGGCAGGCGCTGCTGCGAGTTATCCCTGCGTCGTCGCTGCCGGGGCGGGACCCGGCGGGTGGGCTCCGGGCCAACGGGCTGCCGGCCAGGCGAGCGCCACGGAGCGCGCTCTCCCGCGCCCAGCCCGCGGGAGCCCCGGCCCCCATCTCCAAGGCCAGGGATGCTTGGACGGAGGGGCCCCTGGAGAACCCGGCGGCGAGGTGCCACGTGGCCGACGCTGCCCGCTGCTAAAGCTGGGTTCCAGCGACCCAGGGAAGGGCTGAAGGCATCCAGGAGCAGGGAAAAGAAGGACGACCGGCCCCCCTCCCCCGCCATGCCCTGGGCGCACTTGCCCGATCCCAGCGCTCGGATCTGTCCCTTGCTCCCGCTTTCTCCCCTGCCCCAGCTTCACTTGGCGCTGCTAATTCTTTGCCCCCTCCTCCCCCATCTCACTCACTCCTGGCGGCTCCTGGCCTTGCTCCTGCCTGGTATATAAAGTGGCCTTTGGAATTTCCTTAATTCCTGAGTTGCGCTTAACGGTGCCTTTGGCAGTGCTATGTTTTGTGATATTTTGAAAGACTCCACAGTCTGGGTTCAGAGCTTCAGTCCAGGAAATCATCGCACCCAAACCACTCCAACAGAAAAGCCGTTGAGAAACCAGGTCTGTAATCCAGGCACACTCCAGTGATACTAAAGTTGAGGCCGGATGAGAAGGCAGAACTTCATCCCAGCACCAGGCCTGTTGAAATACAGGGGACACAAAAGGCGGTGTGGTGCAGTGAACAAAAAACTAAAAGAAACTTATGCCAACTGACTTTGAGCAGGTCACCTGATTACTCTCTCTAGGCCTGAGCTGCAAAAGGGCTAACTTTCTGCCTTTCCCATCCCAGATCTGCCCTGAACTCAGCTGATTACCGCTTTTCTTCTTCTAGGTTCTCATTTTTATACCTTCTCGTCATATAATTAGCTCTCCATGTAATGCACTTGGATTTCTCTAGCAGGCAGGAGAAAGATGTCTTTTAACATTAAGTTAGCAAAGGCAGATGGTGGCAGACCAGTGAAAAAAGTGTGAAGTGTGGCTGAGAGTGAAATAACAGTGCTGCCCAAGGTGCGGAGAGATGGAAGGATAACATCATACATCCAGTTATGTTGGGGAAACGCTCAGGAACCCTTGAGGAAACTGTGGAATGCAGTATAAGATTAAATAGAGCAACTAGGCATGCATTTACTTTTGCCCGAGGACAAGAAATTTATCATTAGGAGGAAAATCAAAGCAAATAAAAAGCCAATGCCCTGTTTGAATTGATTTAGAACAGCAGTCCCCAACCTTTTTGGCACCGGGGACCAGTTTCATGGAAGACAATTATTCCATAGACCAGGGTAGGGGGATGGTTTCTTGATGATACAAGTGCATTACATTTTTGCACACTTTATTTCTGTTATTATTACATTGTTAATATATAATGAAATAATTATACAACTCATCAGAATGCAGAATCAGTGGGAGTCCTGAGCTTGTTTTCAGCAACTAGACAGTCCCATCTAGGGGTGATGGGAGACAGTGACAACCTGAAGTGTGTTGCTTATGTCCAGTCCATAATCTCTTTTTGGTTGCTGTCACTGCAGAAAACCCTGTTTCACAAAGATAGGATGTTGGAAATGGAAGCAGGCTTTTCAGTGCGTTTGTGGCAAATCTCAGGATATTCTGCTTGACTTTAATCCAGAACACATGGAGATTTGAAGTTGTCTCAAATTTTTAAGGCCACCGTCATTTGAGATCTCAAGCAGTTGATCCTCTTCTAGCATGGACAGAGTCCATTTACCTGGCTTATTCCCAAATGGGTCACAGATCCATTCCTTCTCAGTTTGGGGGTTTTTTGTGGTTGGGAAGTAATATTCAAACTCTTTCGAAAGCTGAGATAGGTGATCATGCACCAGCTGGGAGAAAGAAGGCCCTGACTCAGTCTCTTTCAAAACCTCTGCTATGTTTGAAACATGTCAAAAATCCCAATGTTCACTCATTGCCCCCATAATTCCAGTTTGTCTTTGAATGCAGCCACTTTATCTGCCGACTTGAACACAGTTGTCATTCTCCCCTGAAGTGACAGATTGAGTTCGTTGAGCAGGTTGAATATGTCACACAAGTAAGCAAGTTTTGCAACCCATTCTGTGTCACTGAAATGTGCTGCCTGTGGTGACTGTTCTTCTAAAAGAAATCTCTGGAGCGGCTCTCCTAACTCAAAAACTCTGGCCAGTGATCTACCTTTAGAAAGCCACCTCACTTCAGTGTATAAGAGAAGATGTGTGTGCTCTGTGTCCATTTCCTTACAGAGCTGTGCAAACAGACATAAGTTATGGACACGTACTTTAATGTGGTTGATAATTTTAATTACATCCTACAAAATGTTGTGTAGTTCAGGTGACGTTTTTCGGCTAGCCAGCATTTCTCTATGGATGACACAGTGTGTAGACTCACATTCAGAAGCGACCTCCTTGACCCGAGTAGTGAACCAGAAAGCCATCCAGTCATGACATCTGCTCCATCTGTGCGTATACCACACAAAATGACCAATTCAGTTTTCCTGATACATAATCATTCAAGGACTTGAATAGTTCTGCAGCTGTCGTGTTGGTTGGCAACAAAAGTACACATAACGCATCCTCATGCACATCCTTCAGAAAAATATATCGCACAAAAACAAGCATTGTTGCTTTGTTGTCAACACCGGTAGACTCATCAACCTGGATCACGTACCACAGTGACTCATTAATCCTTTGTAACAATTGTGCCTCAATATCTTCTGCTATTTCGTCAATTGGTGCTAGCCAAAAGAGGAACGCGTGCCACCTTCTGAGCTGCAGCCTCTCCTAAAAGTTCATGGCAAATGTCCTTAGAAGCAGGCAGGATCAACTCTTCACGAATAGTAAAGGGCTTCTTAGCTTTAGCAATGTGGTTAGCCACTAAGAATGATGCTCTCAGTGCAGACACGTTTGATGAAGTGGTGGCCTTCAATAATTGCTTCTGTTCTTCGTGTTCACGTTTTTTTCCTTTGAAAAATTCCAAAGCCATGTTTTTTAATGTGGGGTGCTTAGTCCCCATGTGGCAAAGCAGTTTTGAAGGTTTCCTGGCTTCACTGAATAGCTGGTCACCACATATTACACAATACAGCTTGGAGAATGTGAATCACCTGTTGCAATGAACCTATAATTTAAGTAGGACTCTTGGTATCTTCTTTAAATGCAGCTTTCATTTTGTTGGCAGTCTTAGAGTCTTCTGCTCTCTCATCATTGGGTCTTGCCCCCATTGAAAGATGCTCTCCAGTGACTTTTGTTTTTTACTCATTTTTGCTAGGGTTAGGTTTAAGTGCTGGATTCTGACTTAAAGCCTGCCACCAGATGCAGCTTAATTGTCACTTGCCACTCCCTGATAGGGTTTTGATATGAGTCTGTAAGCACTTGTTTTTTTATGGTCTCTGTATAGTCAAACCTCTCTGCTTATGATAATCTGTAGTTGCAGCCACTCCCCAGCACTAGCATCACTGCCTCAGCTCCACCTCAGATCATCGGGCATTAGATTCCATAAGGAGTGTGCAACCTAGATCCTTTGCGTGTGCAGTTTACAGTAGGGTTCACACTCCTATGAGAATCTCATGCCATGGCTGATCTGACAGGAGATGGAGCTCAGGTGGTGATGTGAGTGATGGGGAGCGGCTGTAAATACGGACGAAGCTTCACTTGCTTGCCTGCTGCTCACTTTCTGCTATGCAACCTGGTTCCTAATAGGCCACGGACCAGTACCAGTCTGAGACCTGGGGCTTGGAGACAGCAGGTTTAGAACATACATTAAACATAATAACTATAATGTCTTGTTTATCTTGCGGAGATCATCCCCTGACCCCAAATCTCTACCAATATCTCCTAATAGAACTTCTATATTCTCTTAACTATCAGGAACTTATCAGCACTGAGGTCCTGCAGCCAATGCGGACAGGATTGTCTGCAGAGTTGTCTTTTTCCACATTTTGGCAGCTGACTTACATTTTACACCCTCTCACCCCTCCCTTTGCATTTACAGCTGGCAATGCAGACTAGCGATTTTATTTTTTGTTAATTCAAAGATTCCAAGGAGGAAAAAAACTAATCAGCTCATACTGTTGTAGGATTTGAAGATAAGGTAAATATTGAATCCTAATTTTTAT